GGGCTGGCGTCTCGCTGTGTTGGAGTCGTCGGAAATGCACTCATTGCCATAAAATCTTCAATAGAAAAAACCTTCATCCCGATGCCCACCATTGTGGTCTGAACAAATGTGAAGTTTGCAAAGAGTTTGTCGACATGGATCACCTCTGCTTTGTGCAACCGGTTGAGTCTGGCGATAACGATCAAGTTTCAAAATTATTGTTTTTTGATTTTGAAACCAACCAAGAAACCAAAATTCACGTTCCTAATTTGGTTGTCCTTCAAGACGAAGAGGGAAATGAAACTGTTTTCAAAGGCTCCAATTGCTGCGATGAATTTTGTCGTTTTCTGTTTGAAGGAGAACTTGCAGATGTAATAGTGCTAGCTCATAACTTTAGGGCTTTTGACGGGTACTTTATCTTGCAGTATCTCAATAAAAACTGCATCATTCCAAAGGTGGTCATGAATGGCGCTAAAATTCTATCTATGGAGATTYTTGAGAGAAATATCAAGTTCTTGGACAGTCTTTCCTTCTTGCCAATGAGGCTCGCGGCCTTACCCAAAACGTTTGGTTTAACGGAACTTCGCAAGGGCTTTTTTCCYCACAAATTCAATACGGAGGCCAATCAGAACTACGTAGGATGCCTTCCTGACGCCCAAGAGTACGATCCAGATAGCATGTCATCCAGCGAAAGAGAAACCTTTTTCACATGGTATGACGAGTTGAAATCGCAAAATTACGTTTTTGACATGGAAAAAGAAATCTTGGAGTATTGCAGATCTGACGTTGACATTCTGAGGCGCGCCTGTTTGYAATTCAGACGTCTGTTTCTTGAAATCAACGACATCGATCCTTTCCTAAAGTGCATCACTATAGCGTCGGCTTGCAATCTTGTATTTAGAACTCACTTTCTTCAGGAAGAGTCTATCGCTGTCATTCCTCCCATGGGTTATCGCGGTCAAGACAGACACTCTGCGATTGCAATAAAATGGTTGACTTGGTTGTCTGAAAAAGAAAATCTGAACATTCAACATGCCAGGAACGGAGGCGAGCACCGCATTGGTCGATTTAAAGTGGATGGGTACTTGAGAGGATCAGAGCAAAATACGAGTGTACGAGTGTATGAGTTCAATGGTAAATAGTATTGCTTTTTTTATATTACATATATTCCTTTTATGCTTGTTTATTCTCATTATATTCTTCTATTTGTTTAGGATGTCTCGTACATGGGTGTTCCTCTTGTTTTTCGCCGCAAACTCGTAGTCCTTTCAACAACTGTACGATGCAAGAATTACGRGAGAAAACCCTCTCGCGCAGACAATTCCTTGAGCAACATGCTACCGTCATCGAAAAATGGGAGTGCGAGTTGAAAAAAGAACTGATAGAGGATGAAGAAATGCAGACCTTTTTTGACAATATCAACCTATCAGAGCCCCTAGAGCCAAGAGACAGTCTCTATGGTGGCCGTACGAATGCCTATCGTCTCTTTTACAATGCAAAGGAAGGCGAACAGATTAAGTATTACGACTTTACAAGGTGTGTGTGTGCGTGTTTTGAAGACATGTTGTTTCGCTCATGTCTTGTCGTGATTTTCATCATCTCAAAGTTCTCTTTCTCTTTCAGTTTGTATCCGTATGTGAACAAATACGGCGAATNACGATGTCATTTCTCTTGCACTTTCAACGCGTGGACGTTTGATTGACGAAGCGTTAACAAACGGGAGTGACGTGATACAATCGGGCGGTCGCTTGGCACCTCAAAATGATGTCAGTTTGGATGACGTCAGGGGTCCGTTTGTTCCTCAAAAAGAAACGTTTTTGGAAGACTTTGATATGGAATCAGAACCGGAAATTGAAATGGAGTCGGATGTTGGATCGGAGTTGGAAACGGAACCGCAAGCCAGTGCATCGAGCTCAAACGATCCTCCTCTGTTTGAACTTCAACAAWTTAATGACATTCAAGTCAAAAAATTTAATGCGAGAGGAACAGATTACAATGTTCGATTTAATGACAACAGTCGTGACGTGCAAGGCCTCGAGAACGTTCTGCCGATCATTCACCGAGCGTTCGATCARCTCATTGATCGAGTGGCAGACGGAATTCCATCGCACGATCAAGTTCGTCTAATTCTTCATACTGAGCAACTGGACTATCCTATTGCACTGCCTTTCATGAGACGCGATCAATTGACCGCCGAGCGTTTTCTCAGTCGGGTCGAGAGGGTTTTACAATCGCACGAGAGTTTTTCTCTCGACGGTTCTGTTCAAATGAATTTTGTTCATGTTTCAATGCCGCAAGGTGGAGGGTTTTCAAGACGCGTTCAAGTGAATTTAGAGAAACATTTGATTAATAAACGATCAGTGGTAACCATTGAAAGCCGTGACAATTTGTGTTTGGCACGTGCTCTTGTTGTGGCCAAGTCGCGCTTGGATGAACACCCGCAATACAAGTTAATTTGCAATTCAAAGCGCTCTTTGCAAACAAGACTGGCTCGTCAATTACACAGAGATGCAGGCGTTCCCTTGGCAACATGCGGGATGGAGGAAGTAAAGAAATTTCAAAGGTATTTGAGAAACTACCAAATAAACGTACTTTCTAAAGATGCCTTCAACGCAATCATTTATTCAGGCCCTGAATCGGAGCGTCGTATATACCTTTATTATCACGATCATCACTTTGACGTTGTGACCTCAGTGAGCGCCTTCTGGAATAGAAAGTATTTTTGCCCTAATTGCAAGAAGGCATTTGATCACAAGGAGAAGCATAATTGTGCTTTTAAATGTTCGGTTTGTTTTAARGGGCCATGCGTCATTGAGGAATGGGTGTTTTGCTCACTTTGTAATCGATATTTCAAAAGTCAGCAATGCTTTGACAATCACAAGGAAGTGAACRGGGCTGGCGTCTCGCTGTGTTGGAGTCGTCGGAAATGCACTCATTGCCATAAAATCTTCAATAGAAAAAACCTTCATCCCGATGCCCACCATTGTGGTCTGAACAAATGTGAAGTTTGCAAAGAGTTTGTCGACATGGATCACCTCTGCTTTGTGCAACCGGTTGAGTCTGGCGATAAYGATCAAGTTTCAAAATTATTGTTTTTTGATTTTGAAACCAACCAAGAAACCAAAATTCACGTTCCTAATTTGGTTGTCCTTCAAGACGAAGAGGGAAATGAAACTGTTTTCAAAGGCTCCAATTGCTGCGATGAATTTTGTCGTTTTCTGTTTGAAGGWGAACTTGCAGATGTAATAGTGCTRGCTCATAACTTTAGGGCTTTTGACGGGTACTTTATCTTGCAGTATCTCAATAAAAACTGCATCATTCCAAAGGTGGTCATGAATGGCGCTAAAATTCTATCTATGGAGATTRTTGAGAGAAATATCAAGTTCTTGGACAGTCTTTCCTTCTTGCCAATGAGGCTCGCGGCCTTACCCAAAACGTTTGGTTTAACGGAACTTCGCAAGGGCTTTTTTCCGCACAAATTCAATACGGAGGCCAATCAGAACTACGTAGGATGCCTTCCTGACGCCCAAGAGTACGATCCAGATAGCATGTCATCCAGCGAAAGAGAAACCTTTTTCACATGGTATGACGAGTTGAAATCGCAAAATTACGTTTTTGACATGGAAAAAGAAATCTTGGAGTATTGCAGATCTGACGTTGACATTCTGAGGCGCGCCTGTTTGGAATTCAGACGTCTGTTTCTTGAAATCAACGACATCGATCCTTTCCTAAAGTGCATCACTATAGCGTCGGCTTGCAATCTTGTATTTAGAACTCACTTTCTTCAGGAAGAGTCTATCGCTGTCATTCCTCCCATGGGTTATCGCGGTCAAGACAGACACTCTGCGATTGCAATAAAATGGTTGACTTGGTTGTCTGAAAAAGAAAATCTGAACATTCAACATGCCAGGAACGGAGGCGAGCACCGCATTGGTCGATTTAAAGTGGATGGGTACTTGAGAGGATCAGAGCAAAATACGAGTGTACGAGTGTATGAGTTCAATGGTAAATAGTATTGCTTTTTTTATATTACATATATTCCTTTTATGCTTGTTTATTCTCATTATATTCTTCTATTTGTTTAGGATGTCTCGTACATGGNCGGCGAATACCCCTTGCACCACCCTGAAATCATCACAGAGAATTTTGGACCCATTTCAGACTATTTTGGTCTCATTAAGTGCACCGTGCTTCCCCCCAGAGGTTTGTTTCATCCCGTGCTGCCCTTGAAATGCAACAACAAACTGATGTTTCCTCTCTGCCGCACTTGTGCCGAAACCTTACAACAGGAACCTTGCCGCCATAGCGACGAAGAACGCGCTATAAACGGAACTTGGGTTTCCCTGGAGCTCCAAAAAGCGATCGAAAAAGGCTATCGGGTTGTTCAGATTGACGAGGTGTGGCATTTTTCTCAAAAATCTGACGACCTCTTTTCCCTTTACATCGATCGCTTTTTGAAAATCAAACAGGAAAGCTCGGGTTATCCAAGCTGGTGCCGGACGGAGGAAGACAAACAAACATATATTGACGATTACCTCGAAAACGAAGGAATCAAGTTAGACCCCGCAAAGATCGTGAAAAATCCTGGTTTGCGTGCCTTGGCAAAGCTGATGCTTAACAGGTGTGAAAATTGTCTTTCATCTTGTTTTCATTCCCTTTTTTTTATTTTTTATTTATTGTGTTTTATTTTGTTGCAGTTTTTGRGGAAAATTTGCGCAGCGCACCAATCAGACACAAATCGAGCTGATCAAAGACTTAGGGCGTTTCCTCGAGTTGCTCTGCGATGATTCCATCGAAGTTCAGAACATTCGATTTATCAATGATGAAGTCATTGAAGCGCATTACGTATGTCAGGACGCCTTCACACCCTGCAATGGAAAAACCAATGTAGTCATTGCCGCTTTTACAACAGCTCACGCGCGTCTTCACCTGTATGACGTTTTAGATCGTTTAGGAGATCGCTGTTTTTACTGTGACACGGATTCAGTAATATTTCTTTCTCGCGAAGGAGAAGAACAGGAAGATCCTCCTTTGGGCGATTACCTGGGTGAGCTTACCTCCGAGACGGGTGAACAATTCATTACAAGTTTTGTATCAGGAGGACCGAAGAATTACGCCTATCAGCTGAGTGACGGTAGTACGCATTGCAAAGTCCGGGGAATTACATTGAACTATAGAAATTCCCAGACCATTAATTTTGATTTGATGAAACAACTCGTTTGCCTAGAACCAGACAGAACCGTCACAGTCACTAATCCGTGTAAAATCGTTCGTGATTTGAAAACGAAAAACATTGTGTCTCGCCAGGAATCCAAGGATTACCGCGTGGTGTACAATAAACGCGTGATCAAGGAKGACTTTACTACCGAACCCTATGGATTTTGATTATTTTCTGTATCGAAAACTTGTAAATAGAATCTCGTTATTTGTTAATAATAAAGTCRATTTGTAACTGAAATGGGTCTTKAATTACACTGTTAATTAATGATAGATAACATGATAGTAACACTGACAGCAACACTGCGTGATCTACTTAGTCATGGCTTTAAGTGCTTTCGTTTTTGTTCTTTTAATCTGCGCTAATCCTCTCTTTTGTTGTCCACTGGAAACCTGTAGATGTGTAGGGACGCTTTTAGACTGCTCTGGTTTACACTTAACTGAACTTCCTGGCATTTCGTGCGACGGTCTTTCAAAGTTTGATTATCTCAGTTTCAAGGTCAATGACATTGTCTGCCCCAGTTCTTCAATTCTGATGCCTCTAACCCTTTGTCTGAAAGAAATCGACCTACGCAAAAATCCTATTAATTGTTCGTGCCTACCTGTTACTGCAAAAATTGATTCTGACTGTTTGACTCTTCCTTCAACTGCCTCGCCAACATGGTCAAGTCCTACGTCTACTATGACACACTCAAAGTCTACGACTCTACCGACCTTCACAGGACATAGCTCCACCGTATTANAAGTTCAAGTTACAGTTTCCAACACCTGATTATAATAATTTTATTTATTTATTTATTTTTATTATTATTTTTTTTTTGTACAAAGTAAACTTATTTATATGTATACGTCATGTGATAAAACTATATAAAGGCAATGTGTTTGGGTTTTCGAATTTATTTTTGCGTTGTTGTATCTAGACATGGATCCCAGATTGCGACATCCGTTTCCTATGTGTGTGGCCGGACCGACAATGAGCGGCAAGTCGTCTTTTGTTAGACGATTGCTCGAGTATGGCGAAAAAATGATCAATGGTCACCCCGATGTTATATTCTGGTTTTTCGGTCAATACCAGCCATTGTTCGAAGAAATGAAAAGCACGATTCCTAACATTCATTTCATCGAGGGACTTCCATCAGATCTGGACGAGCTTATAGACCCCCGACGACGAAATCTRATTGTTTTAGACGACCTCATGTCAGAAACTGGAAATAGCAAAGATTTGACAAATCTTGTCACGCGGGGATGCCATCACAGAAATTTGAGTGTTATTATTATTCAACAGAATTTGTTTGCTCAAGGTAGAGAATGCCGAAACGTTAGTTTGAATTGTCACTACCTCTGTTTCTTTTCAAATCCCCGTGATCGATCGCAGATTAATTACTTAGCTCGACAAATGTATCCGGATGACAGCCAGTTTTTAAAAAAAGCATATGCTGACGCATGTCTAGAACCATTCGGCTATATCTTTGTTGATTTGAAGCAAGATACGCCTGAATCGTTTCGCGTCAGAACAAAAATATTTCCCGACGAGACACAATATGCGTACGTTTCAGAAAAAAGAAAACGATAAAAAGCCAGCGACGAGTGCTTGAGCGTTCATTTGACATGTCACGCCGATTGAGAAAGAACCTTGATTTTCTTCGGGTTCTAGCAAACTGCAATTCGAAGCAACGTCGGGCCATTCTTAAATCAGCAGATAAAGAATTGCTGAAAGCTATTTGTGAATGCGTGTTGAACGTAGTTCGCGGAGTTGTTGACATCAAGCCTCGAGAAAAGAAAAGATTAGCTCGACACAAGAAAGATCTTCGAACGCTAGCAGATAAGTCAAAGTCTTGGCAGCACAGGAAAAAAATCATCCTACAAAAGGGAGACGGATTTCTTAGTATTTTATTGCCTCCAGTTTTACAAGCATTGACAAGTCTCCTGGCACCTTAGCAGCGATGGCTAAAAAGATGGTTTTAATTCCTGAGAACAGTTATCTTTCTTCTTCGGTTAATCCGTATCAAGACATTCAAACTGCGCCGACAGTAAAAGCCATGTCCAAATTAGAAAAAGAACTGTCTTCGCTGTTGTCGCGAAAAGACCTTCCCGACGACGAAAAGATGAAGTTGTACGAACAAATCATGCAAAAGTATTTAGAATTCAACAAGCAACGTCACGAGGAGGTTGAGGTCACAGCGCCGTCACAAAGCCCTGACACGAACACGCGCAGTGATCCACAAAAAGAGAGACAACAGATAGTCGAGGAAGAAATTCTCGATAGCATACCGCGATCAAGTCGCTCCAAAGCACAGCGGTTGTTAAACAGACTCAAGCAAAATCAAAATGTCTTGTATTTCAACACCAACGGGGAAATGGTGTACGATGGAAAACCTGTGTCTGGAACAAACATTGTGGATTTAATCCGAGATGTCATGACGGATAGAAAAAACTTTTCGCCGTCCAACAGAGAACTGTTTTCTCGAGGCTTAGCACGCGTCAATATCCCACTGGACTGGATTGGGAATAAGAACCGAAAGGTGGCCGTTCAGCGATATAGCGTACCCAGAGAGAATAACGCTGGAGTGTTTTCCCCTCCCTCCCCTCCCTCATCACCGACCAAGCAGTCACGCAAGTCCAACAAAACATCATCCGTCTCAAAAGCTGCACGATGGCTTGCTTATTAATTACCCTTCTTGTAATCAAAAGTTTTCAAATAAAGTTCATTCAGACGCATTGTGTGAGTGTGTTTTTGTTTATGGTAGTTTATTTGATTCGACTTTTTGAACTTTGAAGTCTTACATGTGTTTTCTTAATTGTATTCATAAAAGAATAATGACGATTAACAAATTCGTATACATTTGAATCGTTCTCGTTTGTGTTTCTACCAAAGCGATTGATAATTTTATTCAAACTAAATCCCCGGCAACGATGCACGAGATAGTATATGCAGTACTGTCCGCAAACGTTAGAACCGAGTCCTTGCAATTGAGCATGGTTCATTCTCCATTGATCCACGTTGTTGTTCAAGAAGGTCACAAAATGTTCGCTGTAAAACTCGGGCGACTGACCGTAGGAGTCCCAAAATTCACCTTTTTTATCGTTCAAGATGAAGAAACCAATCCAATGACTTCCTTTTTGATCGCTCTSATCGCAATTTGCGACGAGAGCACTCGGGTAGCGATTCACACGAGAAGGCARAGTGTCTGACGAGAAGACGCCCCGAAAATGAGGCTTGACTTGACTGTCGCTCGTCAAAATTCTTTGCAATTGTTCGGTGTCCATGCTGCTTCAGCTCTTCAATCACTGTAGTCAAACAAAACGTTTCTTTCTTGATCAATTTCGATCAGGTTTTCAAATTCAGCCAAGACCACGACGTTGATGCTCTGTGTTAAGGTTTCAGAAAATTGAAGTTCAATCCTCAAGTTCCCTTGCTTGACCAGATTGAAATGACCGGCGTTGCTCAGATCGGGCGTCAAGTCAAAGCAGAAAATGGCATAACCCTGATCAAAGTCGTCTCTACTTATATTATTTCCCAGATCGTGATACTGAAGACCCGTCCCAGTGAATAGATTTTGATAGGACATGATGAAAGCTGATTCTGCAAACTTGGGTTGAAGGGCTTTACATGGCACGCTCTCGCCATTTGCATAAACGGCGAGGAAACTCAGTTTGTTGGTCTTGAAATTGAATGGATTCTTCTTGTAATTGCCAGAGAAGGCATCATTGTCCACCATTCCCAAGAGCAGTCTTTTGGCGATACGTCCATTGAAGCAATTGTCTTGCGAAAAATTCAAAGCTCMACGGGAGATTGAAAACGCTTTCATGCTCACACGACGTAAGGGATATTTGGCTGTCGTTTTTTTCAGTGCTTCAGCATGAGCCAACAAGACGGAAGGACTGATTTTTTCTTTTCGAATGAAAAGAATGGCATCTTCTATTACGAGCTTAAAGGCAGCTCCTGTGGTTGGCGAAAGCAAGCAGAATTCGTTTTTTGCTCGCGTCAACTTGATTCTCAACTCAACCCCATTGATCAAACTGCGTTCCAGATTGAAAACGTCTTCGTGTATCCGACCTATCATTTCGACGCTTTTGGATTCTTTTGTGTGGTTATAGCGGGCTTTCAGTCCTAAGTTCGCTGTAGCGTCGGCAGCTGCAGGATCCGTGTTATCCATCTGACCTGCAGTGTCCTTGTAGAAAAGCGCCGAAGTCAGCTGCGATTCTTTGGCCGCTGGACCGTAACTCAAGAGTGTTTCAAATATACTTCGATAAGGATACAAGTTTGTGGAATTGCTCAAAAGCCGTCCGTTTGCGCTGACGTCAATTTGAGAAAACATGGAACTGAAGAGGCAGTTCAYCCCTGTTACTTTTGCATCATCAGCGATATCTGTACCATTGGCATTCGTAATCTTTGCTTTGATGTAAAGTTGCGTCTGTGACAGGTTCAAGTATTCGCCAGCAGCAACACCGCTGACCAAAAATTCCAGGGGTCCTCCGTCGTTTGAGATAACTGAAATGGGATGATAGTCCGTCCAACGACCCCCTTCGATACTCGTTTGAGTTGGCGGTAGAGAAAACAGATCCAATTCTGATTTTGAACATTCAGAGGATTCGTGGTGCACAAAGGCCATGCCTAAAAACTGAAAATGTCCGCTTTTCTTTTTGATTTCTTTTTTCCCTTTCTTGGTTTCTTTGACGACTGTCGAGAACCACCTTTTCTCTTCACAGGTTTCCTTGATGTCGTCTTTTTTCTTCTGGAGGATGTTTTCTTTTTNTGTTAGGCTTGAATAGAGTTCTCATGATCACAGGTACAATGGTCTCCGCTTTCTAAAATGAAGTTGAACCATCAACTTTCCCGATTCAAATGGCACATGTTCTCCCTGATGATCCCTTATATTGATTTCAATACGGTCAATGGCTTTTCGACTGACGGGAAAATAGGGGGGGTCTTGAAACGTCTTTGTAATTGTTTCACCATCGTTCCCTTCGACTTTCAGAACTCGAATCAAGGGAACCATGCGATCTCCTACAATTTGCGCCTCAATGACGTCGGTGTAAACATACAGAGAATGTAGAGATTCCTCTAAATTCGCGACGTAAGGCGCAGTTGTTTTTGCAACGATTCGAGCATGGTCTTCTTCAAAACCAAGCTGAACGGCCAACTCTTTACCAAACTTGATTCCGWAACCCCGTTTCTTAACGTCAACAGTCACGTGTCTAGTGATMGGATTGAACYCAAAGTCAAAACATTCGCGCAAAGGCAATTCGTCGATTGCCTTTTCAAAACCTTGCAGGAGCGTGGCGACGGTTGAATAAAAGCCCGCTTCAACCATGAACACGGTGGGCTTTCCAGAAGGTTCATAAACGTAAAAATGATTTTTTTCATTTCTCACATTATTCCAGCTCCGGGGGTACTGAATTTCTTTCAAGGTGACTTCCCAGTCACCCGTAAACTCAATGGTTTGAGGAAGATTCACCGTAAATTCTGACAGCGTGTTATCAGGAAAATAGCGAATCGACGAATCGCTCGGCAATGAAAGATAAAAATGCATTCCGCTCATGTTGAAAGCAGAGAAGAAAATGGAGACAACAATCACCGAAACGTTATTTTATTCATATTTCAAACCAACAACATTTCACATCAATTCAGTTTCGGGAATCCAACTATTAAATTGTTTTGGAAAACCTAACCACTTCACAAAGACTTCCGTGATTCCCTTTCGCTTTCTTTTTTTCAGAATTTCTTCGATTCGATAAACATTGTCTGTTTTATTCACTTTTTGCAATTCGTTGTCGTAAAATCGTCCTTGAATTTCCTCGTCCTGCATGTCTTTGATACGATAGGTAGGTGGTTTGGAAGACTGACGACTCACAATTTCAAAGATTTCTTCTGACCAACCAGGCAAATACGACTTTTCGAACGTCATGCGTGTTTTACTAATGCGAACTTGATCTCCAATTTCAAACTTGTATCGAACTCTTGCCCTGCTGACAGGTTTCTTTTCAGGCTTTMTGGAGGTCTTTTTGGAGGCATACAGATTCTCCCAAACGCGTCTTTCATTTTGCGCATTCACCTCAACTGGCTTCATTTTAATGCTTCGATGTCTTGCGTGATTGTAAGACGAAACAAGATCGGGAAGAACATCGATGTATTTCATAGTTCGTCTCCAAGTGAAAAATCTGTACATTTTGTTCTTGAATGTTCTGTTGAAACGTTCGATCACGGAGGCTTTAGTCTCATTTTGTGAAGAAACAAACTGAACGCTGTTTGATTTTAATAGCTTGTTTACCAACTTATTTTTGAATTCAGTGCCTTTGTCAGTGTACAAGATTTTTGGCACGCGACCGGATGCAAAAATCTCACGAATCGCTTTTTCCAGCGATGAAGCAGATTTTGAATGGAGGGGCCTGACCCAAGCGAACTTCGAAAACACGTCAATGCACGTCAAAAGGAATTTCACATCATCATTCAGCCGACTGAGCGAAGACATGTCCACTAAGTCTGCCTGCCACTCATAATCAATTCCATCCACTAACACTCTATCGCGCTTGAAGTGTTTTCTTACGGGCCTGTGCAACGAATATTCATCTTGGGCACTCAAATAGTCTCTAATCTTTTGACGTGAAATCTTGAACTTTCCCTCATCTTTAACAGCACGATATAAAGCATCTACGCCGCGAAAACTTGCTGGGTGACGTGGATCGTGGTAAATTTTGTTCAGGTATTGAAGTTTCGGGTCCATCGATTTGATTGGAGTTCTCAATCACAATTTGACCCCCACAACAAGCCGAAATACACTTGGACCTCCGAAACAAGTTAGAAATCCTTATTTTAAACGCACCAGGGCTGGGAAAACACTTCATGTTCCCTTTCAAGTTAAAACAAAATGATTTGGCCACCAAAAAAACACGTCTATTTATAAAACTTAACCCTACAAAACACAAAAGCCAGAAACACCTCCTTAATCCCCCCAATGACATTTACACACAGAAGCATTGACTCGTGTTGGCATGGAAACAACTTTTAATGCAAATTTGCGAAAAAAATCAACTCATTAACATACTGAGACTACAAACATCACATGGGATCAAACATCTCAAGAACAAAAACCAAAAAAAAAAACTAACAATTTTTTACAGTCAATCACAAAAACGTTATGCCAAGGAGTGATACAATAAACTCATTGAAACGAATGTTCATGGATATTTCTTCTCGTATTGAAGTGGCTTTAATGGGTCGTTCGGCTTGGATGTCAGGTACAGAACTGATAATGTTATGTTTTTCTTATTTCAAAGTTTTGTTAAATATTCTGTCTCCTTCTTCTTCTATCTTTTTTTTTTCATTGTTTGTCTTCTTCTTCGTCTTGTACTTTCCTTTCTTCTCTTACACCTTCATTGATCTCAACTTGAGCATGCACCATGGCTTCCTCCTGTTCTTTGATTGATAATCTCTCAAATTCTCTCGTCAAGTTTCGAACCACTTTTGACACTGCTTTTTTGATTGGTCTCGATCGGATTTGTTTTCCATTTCGGAGTTCCATTTTCAAGATTAGTCGTTACGTTTCAAATGTTTGAATGCTTGTAATCATCAAGTGACGTTTTTTAAAACAAAAAGGCTCAACGGAAAATACATTCCAAGTGTCAAGAAATTCCACATGAAGCTGCAACGGATAAACCAACGGTTTTCCTGAATCACGGCCGTTCAAGCCATCTGGTTTGATTCAAAACAATCAAAAACACCAATCGTAGCATTTTGTGAAATAAACGTAAAACCACAGTGTGTTCAAACAATTCAACGGTTCAAACACTGACCCAAAATTACATACCTGAACGTTGAATTCAAAGCAAGAACNGAAGCTTTGAACAGTTTCTTCTATCCACTCTTTTGATGTGTATTTCAATCGCTCTAAATCGCTCAATCCTAGTTTCTCGCGGCAGAGCTCCTGCCAGTACTCAGCCATTTTCATGTTATCCACTCTCTCCATTGCAAGTTCAATGTAATATTCTTCGTCATCGACGTTTTCGAACCCCATGCACAGATCATGGTCTTTTTGACTGGGGCAATCGAAAAGGCATCCAAAGCAATTTTTCTGCTGTAATTCACACAGCCTTTTCTTTGTTTCTTCTGCGTGAAGGCGTAGCAGTTTTTCCATCAATTGCTTATCTTTCATACTCATCTCCACAACATCAGCGCACACCATGTCTCGTGGAGGAATCATCAAGTGAAGCCTCGGTCTCTTTGTCTTTCCTTCTTTCTTTGGCGTGGAGGTTTTCACTTTTGTGAAATCAACGTCTTCTTCTTTTTCTTCTCCTTCTTCTTTTTCCTCTTTATTTTCTTTTTCCTGTCCTTCTTCTTCTTCTTCTTCGTCTTCTTCTTCGGTGTCGTCGTTGTCTTTGCTTTCTTCTTCTTCTTCTTCTTCTTTCTGCTCGTTCTTCTTCATCTCTTTCTCAAGGAAAGGGATCACTTCAATCTTTAATTGATCAACTGATTTTGCAAATTTCTCAAAATTAGACACTTGAAAGGTCACCGATGTATGTGAAATCGGTTCGTCAATAAAATCACAAATTTCTATGTTTTGTGTACCATCACTGTGATACCCCAAAGAGACGTAAAAGTCCTTAAACAGATAAACGCGTGGAAGACTCATGGTGGTTTTCGAATGAAGTGAATCTCAACCCTGCAACGATCGAGTAAAAATCATGTTTTGCAAGTGTCACGCTTAATCCCTCTTCATTGTTTTCAGATGGTATTTCTTTGTTTGACGAGAACACACCAGTCGGAATTTGGWATGTACACATCTGGGATTCATTCACTGTTTTTGTTTTTTTGTCTATACTTGGAATGTGAATAACGACTTCATTCCATTTCAACTTGGAATGTGACATCACGTGGAGGGACTCTGCTCGAGCAAAGCCAACGGTGAAATTTCTTTTAACGTCCAATCTGATCCAGCCTCAATAGACCAGTCTTTCAGATAACCTCAATCGCTCGTCAAGCATCGATTAATCTCTTTGACTTTTGCCCTCTCGCGGCTTTTAACCAGAAACACTCCCGACACTCTCTCAATGAGTTCTTCCAAGAATTCGTACAATTCGTACACACTCGACACCGGATGATTTCGACCATCCCATATTCTAACTCCACGGGACGATTTAATCAAAATACCTTGTCGCTGATTCCCTTTACACAATTCAAACGTTCTCATGATCTCGCTCAAATGTTTGTCTCTATTTTCTTTCGMATCACTCAAAACAAAGTTATAGATGGCATTTTTTATTCGATACAATTCGATCTCCCTATCAGTCCGCATGTGGRCGTTCAAATGCTCAATTATATTCTCTATTGCTTCAATCGACGTTTCCTTCCACACCTCAAGCTCATTCATTTTATCAAAACACGGTGGGAACGCAACCCAAAAATCTCCTCTTTTGTCTCCTGTCTGTTCTTCAACAAAGTGAAACATTTTTTATCTTGAAATCAAACGAACTCAACGCTGTCTTCCACTAAATGAGCCCCGGGTACCCTGTGTTCAAAAAAAAACGACACGCGCTGTGCTCACAAAACGACACGCGTTTCTATTTACTCAAACTTGGAATGTTAATCCCTTCCCTTTGTTTCCCCTTCCATTCA